TCACCTCCGCCTTCTGCGCCCGCGGGACCCTGGAGCCTGTCCCGAAACTCCTCGTTTTCTCTCTCCTCTCCTTGCTCCGAACCCCCTTTTTCCGTGTTCCGACCCTCTGTCAGTTTCAGTTTTCTCTTTCTTGTTTAGATCCTGCCTCTCCTCTTCCACGTTCCTTCAAGGTTCTCTTCTTGATACCTTCCGCTCCCCTCTAGCTGACCCCGAGGAGAGCTAGAGACAGGTGCCTACACTCCCTGCCCACTCTTGGCGCTGCTCCTCACTCCCAGGCTTTCTGGGCACACAGGCCCCTTTACTTGAGGGAGATCCTCTGTTCTGGCAGCCACACCCCCAAGCGTGTCCGTCCATTTCTGAACTCGTATATATTTTCTTTTCTGTTCTCCAGAGCCCTGTCAAATTCTTTCTGAAAAACAGGAAGAAGGGAGGGGACCGCCTTTTGTCCCTCCCCCAGCCCTCCTGCTCTGGTCTGGAGGAACCCCTGCAACAAGCCAGCTACAAGACTGGCAGTCAGGGTACTTTCTCCAGATCAAGCCGGAGTTTCCCACCCCAGTCCTCCTCATCCATTCCAGGCCTGGTTTCCTTGGTCTCCCATTCACCATCTGAGGAAGATCCAGTGCAGTGGCTGGACTCAGGATCCTTGCCACCTCAGGGCTGCTTGATGGGTACCTGGTCCAGGTAGATCCAGAATGTCCCCTCCTGGTTACAGAGCAGACTTATGGTTTAGGCCCAGAGTCAGTGGGCAGTATCTGTCTGCCTTCTCCTGATTGTCCCACCTTGGCCCCAGCCCCTTTGAGAAACAACGTGGGTTCCCTGTCAATTATTTTGTACTTACAGAAGCTGGAAATGGCTGGTGGGTCCTTGCTTCTGTTTAGACTGGGTCCTGTGTGAGGGGGCCACCTATGTAGGAAACAGGATAGGGCTAGTTTGGGTTGCTATTTCCCTAGCCTCTGGGTCTCTCAGTCCTTTCTGCTCTGACCAGAGGTTGCTTGGGAGGACCCCAGTGTCCTGGATGGGGCAATCACCTTCATGCGTGTCAGGCCAGGGTCAGCTGGGGGAGAATCTTCCACAGTGCTGGTCCCAGCACCAGCATTTACCCCTCTCCTTGGGGACCATCTGGACCCCTTTAACCCCTAGCCCATTTTTCCTTGCCTATAGCCTCCTGGTCCCCTCTGCTGGAAGAGCTTTTCCTCTCCTTGGCCTTGAGTGAAGCCAAGTCAGTAGTGGGGAGATCCCAGGGAAGTCAGGGGTATCCTTGTCTCCCTTCCTGTGAATGGTCTGGAGCTGGACTTGGCATGATGACAGGCCACCCAGTACTGGCTTCTAGTGCACACAGCTCTGCTTGTAGCCAGACAAGCTGGTGACCAGGCCTCTGAGCCTGGCTGGTTCAAACTAGCCTGCACTCCACTCTGTTCAGCGTAAGCTCTGGCCTGGGCAGCTAGAGGCAGGGCAGCTGAGCAGATCTAACAGCATGAAGTCCAGGGTTGCCCTGCCTAGTGCCCTGCCAGGTTGAGGCTGCCCCGTGGCTTCCCTGAGAGCAGACAAGCTGAGCATGGGGAGCCAAGGTTACTGACACTAAGTTGTGGGCTCTGCCACAAGCCTCTATCCCACCTTCATTCTTCCCAGGTGACACTCAGAGCAAGAGTTTCTCTCTCATCTCTAGAAGCTGGGAGAAGGAACTAGAATATATAGTTGTAGAAGAGCCTTTGGGCCCTGTAATGGAACTTTGGCTGCTTATGGACTTGCTGTGTGAAATGGGGAGGGGGCCAGGGAAAAGAAGGAAGCTTTCCTATTGCCTCTGAATGCCACTGGGGACACTTCCCATGGTGGTTCCCTGCCATGTACAGTGACTCTGGAGGCTAATTATTGCTGTCCCCACCAAGTCATTGTGGGTCAGGACAGACCAGGCTCTTGCCTGGTCTTTCCAAAGGTTCTAGGCACAGATGGAGTGGGCATGCCCCTAGTCAGGGCCTACTGCTGACCACTATCTTGGCTTGGCCGCTTCATCTTTTGCTAGCCTTCATTGATGACCCACATTGATTGGCTGTCTATCGTGAACCAGTCTTTGCCTTCTTGCTCTCTGCTCCTCAGGCAACATTTCCCCCCCTGCTGCTGGGGGTTGGACCTGAGGGCACTTTACTACTGAGTTACAGCCTCGGCCCTTTACAAAAAAAAACAATTTGTTTTGTTTTGTTTTGTTTTGTTTTGTTTTTAATTTTTGAAACAGGTTCTCACTAAGTTATCAAGGCTGGTCTTGAACTTGTGATCCTCCTGCCTCAGACATCCAAGTTACCAGAATTACAGGTGTGCACTATCATGCTTGGGTCCTACTGGCAACATTTTGCCTGATCCCAGCAGAATTCATGGCTGGGAATGGGCCTCTGCCATGCCTAGTGTCCTGAGGGCTGGCTCAGGCACTCTGCTCTGACATGAGGAGAAGAGGTGGCGGTGGCCATGCTGAGCCCTGTGTGTTGTATCTCACTCTGGGTTATGTGGTTGGCTGGTTACATGGCAACTTTAGAATATATTACCTGGCAGCCAGGCACCATTTGTGGTGCTAAGGAAGCTTTGGGTATTGGCAGAAACAGCCATGAGCCTCACGCATGTGTTCATCTACCTGGTTCAAAACTGAGTCCTTGGACCCACTGGACCCATGGGCCAGACACATACACCAACATGTCTCAGGTTGGGCAGTTTGTTAAGGCCCTCAAGCAAATGGTTCTCACTGCTGTGGCCTATGTCATGTCGGGTTAAGGGCCACTGCAGGGATGGCCAATGCATGCTTTGATGTTCTGTGTGGGTGTTAGGTGTGTCCTGGGCAACTGGCCTGGCGAGGTGTGCAGCCACCTTCCTGAATCCTGGGCAAGGCCCTTCCAGGCAGGCATCAGGGCAGGCAAGAGTATGGCAGGAGGGCTGGAGGGGTAGCAGGAACACCCATTCAAGAGCTTAGGGGCAGGACAGGAAGCTTATGCTGACACCCTGCTCTGGATACAATCCTGGGCTCCAAGGGCAGTATGACCTGTTAGCACCTTTGCCTATGAAATAACTTCACCGAGGAAGACCCAGCCTTGGTGGTACCCAGGAAGTTACAACCACAGCCTCATTCCTGACCTCCCTATCCCAGCTCTCCTGGCACAACCCTTTATATAAGGCTCAACTTGGTTCTCCCTAAGGCAGACCCAGTCCCAGCCCTTTGTCTGGATGTCTGTGAGGCCCAAAGCCTGAGTCTTGACATCTGGAGGAAGACACCACTTGTCATTTCTACTCCTCATGAACTTTGAGGTATAAGAGTCAGTAGGTGATGGTCTTTTATCATGGGATGTGGTCCAGCCTCCATCTTGTGTGACCATGGCCTTCTGGCATGCCCCATTGTTGCTCTAGCAAACCTTGAGCTGCTCTCCATGTCACCCCTCACATCTACTCTTCTTTTGGCTTGTCTGAGGCAGTGCCCCATGTCAAGACATTCCCCACTCCCTGCCACAAAGGTGCCCATCCCTTCCTAGTGCCTGAATCCCTCTCAACCCTGAGGGAGGTTGGTATGTTCTGCTGCTATCCCACTCTAAGACCTTCTACCTCCATGCCAAGTCTCAGCTCTGGGGATTTGATTAACAGTCCTATCAATGAAAGGCCCAGAAAACAGGTACTGCTCCATCTCTTCCCACAGTCCCTCACCCCCTGAGAACATGTAGCAACTCAGGTTTCATCATTCACATGGCCCATGAGCTCAGATACCACTGATATTTTTTCCTTGAGACAGGAAAGAATTTTGAAAATAAGTCTGCTTAGGTGTCCAAAACCCAGGACTGAGCAAGGAGGGTTTCTGTAGTTTCTATAGGCTATGTTGTTCTTTTTGTGGTGATAGTTTATCAATATAAGTCATTTTATTATTTGTAGTATTGGGGATTGAATCTAGGGCTTTGCACATACTAGGCAAATGCTCAATCAGTGAGTCTTGTTCCCAGCCTTTTAAAATTTAATTTAATTTAGTTTTGAGGCAAGGTCTTACTAAGTTGCCCAAACTAGCCTTGAACTTGTTATCCTCCTGCCTCAGCCTCCTGAGTTGATGGCATTTCAGGCATGTGCCACTTTAAATTACTTTTAAGCAGCATTTGCTACTGAGAGCATTTCTAGGTGGGATGGGGGTGGGTTGCTGAGCCCCACCTGAATCTTGACATCAGGAGGGGAGGTCAGATTTCATCTGATTCAGTAATTCAGATCTAGCCTGAGTGGAAGCTTTAAGTCCTGCTCAGGCCCATGCTAAGGAGGTTAAGGAGGCTTGGATGAGTGTGGGATATGTCCCAAAGTGCCACTGTGGTTGTTAAAGCCTTGCCTACACTGGGAGGCTCTTGGGAGGAAGGAGGCACCTCCAACTGACTGAGCAGTGCTTTAGGGTTAGTGTCCAAGGGGAAATCCCTCAGCTATATTTTGGTATTGTGACCTCTGCAAAGGGCTGTGGGTCTCTGACCACTGGGCAGAAGGGTAGACTGTTCACATGGGTCTGGGTAGTGGAAAGAGTGGGTCTCCAGGGTTTGAAAGGATCATGTGGTGCAGGGTGGAAAGAGGTCCTAAAAAGCCAGCTGACCACAGAAATCTCATGGCCAACTGGAAGTCATGGGGCCCCATCTCTAGGACCTGCTTGTGGCCAGGCTTCTCTTTGGGCTGGGACAGGGCCACTCATTTGAACTCCCGGGTATACACAGGCTGAGCTGCCTGCAGTAAGGTGGAGAGAAGGGCTAGGTGCTGTCCTGGGGTGTACAGGCTATTTCTAGGTCTTCCTGGGCTCTGCTGTGGATAATAAGGGTGGTGTATGTTTTGAACCTGCTGTGGTCTGCTACCCACCCTTGCCACCAGTCACTTTAACCCTCTTACCTCCTTATAATCATCACCTTGTGCATGTGAGGAAACTAAGAAGAAAATTGATGAGGCTAAAGTCATGCTGCTGTTGACCTTGGTCTGGGGTCTGAGTCCAGAACTGTGGCTCCAAGCCAGCATCTGCCTTAGGAGGGACTGCTTGGGAGGCCCTGTAGTGTTGTTCTGGATTGCAGGTACAAGTCCTCCTGGCTGCTGTAGGAGGGCAATCTGACCTGCGTTCTGGAGGTACCTGGGCTCTTGGGTGCCTGACCCTACCATGTTGAGTGAGCATTGTGTGTAGTCATTGGGTGGGGCCCAGCTTGGGCACAAATCAAAGGGCCATGTGCAGTCTGGCCCACCCACTGCTGAAACTGTGTGGCTACCCTATGGCCAGGCCTATGTGTGTTCAGGAGGTTGACAGAAGACATTAGGGCATAGTGACCACCCTACTGTGGTCAGACTGGGAGTTTACCTGGAGAATGTCCCTTAGCTGGTGAGGGGCTGTGTGTGGGTGTGCTTGTCCAGTATGCCATAGAACATCTTCAGCTGAGTAGTTGTCAGGGGTGAAGGGGCAGTGACCCCAGAGCTTACAGATCCCCCAGGAGGCCCAGAGGGAGACTAAGGAGGGCAGGATTAATTACCACCTCTCCCATAGTGAGGAATCAACTACTTGTTTTGGGGTCTGTGGCCAGGGGTTGGTAGCAAGTGTGGTGCTGAGAAGTCATGGTGCTATGCTTGGCAGCCTTGATACCCACCTGGCAGGACCCAGGATAGTTGGGGTGCTTAAGGAGAGGCCCAGTGGGCCAGGATGGGGGCAAGTGGCCCCAGCCCTGCTTGGAAGTGCTGGGAAGACCAGGCTGTAGCCAGCAATACTGATGTCCTCTCCTCAGGCTGGTGGACCCTGGAGGCAGCTCTTAGCTGGGCCCAGAGCTTCATCCAAGGCCTAGGTAGCCTCAAAGCAGGGGACTCGTGCCAGTTCCTTATGGGCTTCCCTCTTGAGGGATGCCGCATGGTGCTACATGGCTGGCTCCCCTCCTAGGAGGCAACTTGAGGAATATGTGGCCATCCGATACTGTGCCATGTCCTGCCCTCCCTGGCAGTATCAGCAGCCCTTGGACCAGACAGTCCAAGCAGGTGGGGGCAAAGAGAGGCCCTGTGACCTGAGCCCTTGTGCTACCCACATTCCACACCCCACTGACTCCTGGGGCTGTACAAAGCAGCCTGGTTTTCCCACCAGGACTTGCCCTAACCCCCTCCTCAGCCAGCTTCTATGTCTGGACCTGCTGCTGCCTGGCCCCTGCTAGGTCCTCTCATCCAGGCTGCATCCAGCCAGTCACTCCTCACTCGCTGTAGTGTGTTTTAATTTCTAACCTAACTTAGAGCATGAGACTTGAATGCAGATGATGTGTGGTGTTTTTCTAGATGTGGTTTCTGTGGCAGTACTCTGTTGCCATCAGTCCTCAGCATGTAGGTTCCATCAGGCCTGGCCTGAGAGGTCCTGCTGAAGCAATAGAAAGATAGCAAGGATTCACTAAGGACCCCACCTGTATAGTGTGATCCCTGGCATAGCCAGGTGGCAGCTTATGAACATCCCTCTCCCCAGTGCACACTGTCTAGAAGCTGTAGTGTGATGGGCTTGGCATATGGGTGTCTCTCTGTCTCCCTCTGTGCTGCTGACATGGAACCAGTGCTTCTACTGGCTAGACAAGTGCTCTCCCACTGAGCTAGACCCCAGCACCTGGGCCTCCCCTCTCATACTGTGAGCCTCTTGAGGTCTTCCTACCCCAAGTCTTTAGATGGCACCGTGTGATGCTCAGAGGTATATGTTGAACAAGTGAGAGATGCAAGATGGGAATGATTGTGGCCAGCACTGTCCACATGAGCAAGGACCCCCCAGCAGGAGCGGTCTGGCTCTTGCTGACCCAGTTTACACCAACCCAACACAGCACCATGTTCGCTCGCAGCCCCCATTCCTACCTGCCTCCATCCTGGCTCATCCTGGCCTCCTGCCTGCTACAGCTCTATGTCATTCTGGTGATAGATAGCCCCAACAGGTAGCTCCTCTTTCTGGGCAATTGCAGCTGCTGGCTTTCACCTGTGCTCACTAGCAAGGGCTGGCATGAAGAACCAGGGTTTAGGTCACCCTGAGGGCCCTAGTCCCCACATGAGCAGCCTTTCAAGAAGGCACAGAGAGAGAGCCTGCTGCAGTGTGTGGGGAGCAGCTTCCACTCCCCAATGAGACAGCTGCTGGCTGAGGGCCTCTGCCTTGCCAGGCCAAGAACCAGATGTTCTTATAGGATAGGGCAAAGGAAAACTCCAGGTTCTAAGACCTGGGTTTGCCAAATCAGTCTCCACCAGTCAGGCTTGCTTCAGGGAAGAGGCGGAACCCCCATGACCTGATGGTGCCCCACAGAGCTCAAGCTGACTGAGTCCTGGCACCCCCTGGAGCAGCTGTTACATTTTCTAGACTCCAACATGAACTGGGGACTGGCGTATGCTCCCTCCTCTCCTCACCAGCTGGAGTCCCTTGGGACAACTGACCAAGCTGACGCTACGGGAAAGGGCGGGCACGTGTGTGCGCGCGTCCCGCAGGTCTGTGAGCTTCATCTCCCTTTCCTTCTTCACAGTGTACTAATGGTCACTTGATGTGCGCTGGCTGTTTTATCCACCTACTAGCAGATGCCCGGCTGAAGGAGGAGCAGGCCACATGCCCCAACTGTCGTTGTGAGATCAGTAAGAGCCTCTGCTGCCGGAACCTGGCTGTGGAGAAAGCCGTGAGCGAGCTGCCCTCAGAATGTGGCTTTTGCCTGCGCCAGTTTCCTCGTTCCATCCTGGAGAGGCACCAGAAAGAGGAATGCCAGGACAGGTAACCACTAAGGCTATGGGCTCCACCTCACATGTGGTGCCCAGGATGGGGCTGGAAGCCCACCCTGGTGCAGGCAAGTTCCCTCCCAGGACAGGCTAGTTTGTCCTTGTTGTCTGGGCCTTGGGTACCATATGCAACATAACAAACCTGTAGGCCCCAGGGTAGGGGGGCGCATGGGGCTTCCCATGGGACAGGGCAGTTCTGTGCCCATTTGCTATCTAGACATGACCCTGACCTTCAGGGTTCTTTGGCTGTGGGGTAGCCCCTCAGAAGGCCCAGGACAGTGTGGCCAGCTCAGGAACTCTAGAAGCTCTGCTCTACAACATGGGCCCAGTAGGTGGACAGGGCCACTCATCCAGTGGATCCCTAATACCAGGCCTCCTCTGTAATGATGTTGTGTGGGACCATGACAGTGGTCATTGGCTCCTTATTATGAAGAAACACCATAGCAGTGGGTATAAGAAGCATGCTGACTTATGGCTCTCTTACTCCCCCCTGCCCCCCACTCTCTGTTTCTGTCTTCTTCCCCTTCCCTCTTTCACTGTCTCCCTCCTCCCTCCTCCTTCTCCTCCTTCTCTTCCTTCTCTCTCTCTCAAACACACACCACATGTGGGCATGCAGGTACAACTGTTCTCTGAGCCTGTCCTTGTGGCTGGGCTCAGGATTAAGTATGTCCTACTGGAAGAGATTTTTGACTGAGCAAAAGCTGCCTCTGGGGAATAGCTGGTCACAACCACCTGCTTCTGGCATAGATGTGACCTCTGTATTCACCTTCTCCCAGGGTGACCCAGTGCAAATATAAGCGCATCGGCTGCCCATGGCATGGCCCTTTCCATGAGCTGACAGTGCATGAAGCTGCATGTGCCCACCCCACCAAGACGGGCAATGAGTTGATGGAGATCCTAGATGAGATGGACCAGAGCCACCGCAAGGAAATGCAACTCTACAATAGCATCTTCAGCCTGCTCAGCTTTGAGAAGATTGGCTACACAGGTGAGGTGCCCCACTGCCCTCTGCATGCCACACGGGTATGAACTGGGGATGATGCTGGTGACCAGAAGCTGGGTATTGGGGACAGCAGGCTCTGTGCAGTGGGCACAGGCTGCGCCGGATGGCTAGGCTCTGGACAACCTCCAGGAGGACATCTCAGGGAAAAAAAGATAGGTCAGGTTGGAGACTAAGCAGAGGGAGGGGCCAACAGGGCCTAGGGCATACCTGCATGGCTCTCATAGTAGCCCCTGCCCCTGTCTTCCCCACCCTGGCCTACCATCCCAGCAAGCTGGTATCACTGTGTGGGGCTCCACTGCCTTGGGACAGGTGGGGTCTAACCAAGAAGTGGGGCGTGTGTTAGGGAAGCCTGGGAACTCAGGGCTGCCACTCAGAGCTGGAGCAAGAGGAGCCTCCATCAGGTCAGGCCCTGTCAGCAGACCTCACTGAAGCCACCACAGGCCTCCCAAGGCTGGTAAGAAGCTGTTCAGGGACAGGACTCCAGAGCAAACTGAGGGCACCCAGCTCAGGCTGTAGAACCAGGAATGGATGTCCACAGATGGGCAGACTGGACTGGGCCTAGGCCCACTGGATCTTGTGGCTCCTGGGCTACTGCTACCACCTTTGAACATTTCGGAAAGCAGGAGTCAGGCTGGAGCCTGGTTCAGAGGACAGCAAGAAGCACCTGCAGACAATGGGCCATTCAGGGAGACCCCATCCCTCTACTGCTCAGCAACACCAGGTGGCCAGGGCAACCATGCAGCCAGTCACACCATGCTGCCTAGACTGAGCTTGGCTGGGTATAGGCCTGAGCAGGCTCCACAGGCTGAGGGCCCAGGGGGCTACAGCAGCAGAAAGCCACAGCCGCTGGTTAAGAGCAGCCTCAGCTGATCGAACAGGCCTGTGGGGTCTGGGTGGGCAGGGGCATGTGGCTACATCAGTGGCCAGGTAGGAAGCCCCATCCATGCAGGAAGGACTGGTTGCCTGGGAACCCACACCTCCACAGAGGGACTTGCCAGCCACAGGCTGTGGGTACAAAAGAGGACTGCAAAAGCAGGTCTGCCCGCTGACTGACAGCCCCAGAGATGCCAGGCAGAGCCTGGTTGCAGCTGGACACCTGAGGACCTGGCGCTCCCCTCGGGCAGGACTGGGTGCCACTTACTCACCTGCCGGCTTTTCTGGCAGCTCTGTATCCGAACCAATAAAGTACACTTGTTCTCAGAACTGCATCCTGTCTGTGTGTCTGCTTACCCCGCCCCTGCTGGGACACCAGGGCTAGGGTGAGGAGGGTGGTCCATGGGTCAGCCACACCTGGGAGATGGCCTGACCTCCCATAGCCTTGGGTTCTACAGCTAATTGGTGTTTATATCCCCGGACCCCTGAAAGCTTGTGCGCCTCCATGTGCAATACTTGCATTTGACTTGCCTTGTGACAAGTAGAGCTCACTAGGTCCGGGTAAGTTGCCTTTCTCCCTGGCTGAGCCTGTCCTCAGCCTGGTCAGAGAAGGCGCCACCACCCAGCTCTGCCCAACACTAATGGCTGGCTGTTTCTGGCCCTGTCTGTCTCCACAGAAGTCCAGTTCCGACCATACCGCACAGATGACTTCATCACACGCCTGTACTATGAAACACCGCGGTTCACAGTGCTGAACCAGACATGGGTCCTGAAGGCTCGTGTGAATGACTCAGAGCGCAACCCCAACCTGTCTTGCAAGCGCACACTTTCCTTCCAGCTCCTCCTCAAGAGCAAGGTCACAGCACCCCTGGAGTGCTCCTTCCTGCTGCTCAAGGGCCCGTATGATGATGTGCGGATCAGTCCTGTCATCTACCACTTTGTCTTCACCAACGAGAGCAATGAGACGGACTATGTGCCTCTTCCCATCATCGACTCTGTGGAGTGCAACAAGCTGCTGGCTGCCAAGAACATCAACCTGCGGCTCTTCCTCTTCCAGATACAGAAGTAGGATGGGCCCAGGATGCCCAAGGAGCTGAGGGCCAAGGCTGGCGCCGCCATCCCATCCACCCCTGGCTTGGCAGCGGCTTCACATGACCATCTGATCATTTTAGCAAAAGAGAAGAACAGACAAAACCAAACACTGGGAAAGTCTGCATGCGTGTGCCACAGGGTCCCTGCCTCCAGCTCCCCCTCTTCCCGGCCTCCCCCTCCTGAGGGTGGCTGGAGGCTGGGCTGACCGCAGAGGAGACAGTGCTTTGGGCTACCCAGGCTCAGGGATGGGTGGTGAGGAGGGCAAGAACCAGCAGCCCTGCCCCTGCACCCATCCTCACAGTGAGGCAGCACTGCCTGCTCTGGTCCCGGGCCGGGCTCAGGGGCCCTCGCTGACTTCAGACGGCATATTTGATTGCAATTAAAAGGCAGCCTTGTTTCCTACTTTCTGTTTTGTTGGAGGGGAAGGAGTGGCTGTGAATGGACGGCGTGGGAGCTCTGGTATGGCTTGGGGGTTACTGTTATGGCACCTGTGTGTGCCCCCAAGAGAGACTTGGAGACATTGCTTCTCCCACAGTCTGTCACAGGTCTCTGGACTGAGGCCTAGACAGGGACAGCCATGAAGTGTCGCGCCCCCCCCCCCCAGCTACCCGGCTACTTTAGGGAGGCAAGACTCCGCCACCAGAGCTCAGCAGAGGTTTTCGGAATGCAGGGTGAAATTCTGTCTCTTCCCAGGAAAAAATTAAACTCTTTACAGGCTCTTCTAAAAGTGATGCCGTTTTAGTGAGAGAGAGCTCATTCACTTCCTTTTAGCCTTGGGGCCCAGTGTCTTCAGGCTGCAAAGGAGGCAGGCCACTGGCTGTGAGCCTGGCTGGGTGAGGTCAGAGAGGGCCACCACCCCAACCTGCTCTCAGGGACTGGCTGCTGGGCCTTTGTTCAGAGAGCCACTGCAAGGGCCAAGGTTGGGCAGCATGGCTTCTCACCTACAGAGTGTGAGCTATGAGCAGGACTTGGGAGTGGGAAGCAGCCCTGCTTGGAGGAGCAGACCTTGGCCTTTATTTCCCTGGGACCCGCAGAGCTACTGGGAAGGTAGAATTTGCTCCCCTCAACTTTTGTTTAGGAGATGGGACTCTTTTGTGATAGCTTTTTTTGCTTTAATACCAAAGAACTGGGTTTCCTCTGCCCTGACCAGGCCACCACACACCTGGGAGCAGCCCCCACCCTCCCTACAGGCTGCCTGTGCCCCATGGGGTTGAAGGACTGGATAGCCCTGGCCACATGGGTGCAGAATTTAGGCCAACTGACCCCTGAGGCTCCTCCCATCCCACCCTCAGGGGGCTGAGAAATGGAGAGAAGGAGCTGTGGCATAGAGCACAAGCCCCAACCATATTCCTGAGCATGGCTTAGTACAGGGGCCAGGGTAGCTGCCTGAAACAGTTTTCTCCTCAAGGATGGCTCTCCTGTCTCCTCACAGACAGAAAGATTCTCAGAGCTGTTTTCAAAGATCCATTTGGGCTCCTGTCCCCAGCTCAGGGCACAGAGCTTACAGGGAACCCCTCTCTGGGGAACCGTCTCTCCTGCAAAGCTGATGTAGCCTGGATAGTTGGGAAGACCCATGTTTGGCTTTCTGCCTTCTACAAAGAAAGACCCAACCCCAAAACCCAGCACATCTATAGGAGCGGTGGCCTCTGACTCAGGTACAGCCAGATGACTCCTCTGCCCTTGTGGGGCAGCCCTGTCCCACACCCACTGACAGGCACAGAGGACCTGTGGAGAACAGAGGCCCCTCAGGGAGCCACTCTGGATTCCAAGGTGATGGTGTGAGGGACAGTGCAGAACTGTCCTTTGCGGGTATTTGTGAGACTGATCCAGCAGAGGGTGATGTAGTGGTTTCCTGGGAGTGGGACAGGGTGGAAGGTTTGTTCTCCAAGGTCACAGCTATGCTGGGAAAAGGAAGAGCACAACTGGGCTGGCAGGGGTTTGGAGGCAGCAGTTCTGTATGTATATGTGTGGCTGTGGGGTCTGGGAGGCCACAAGGAAGGAGGAGGCCCAGGGCTGGCAGTCCTACAGCCTTTCCTCAGTGCTGGAGCCCACAGGGTCAACAGGGTCAGCCCAAGACCTATGTGGGGACAAGGGCAGTGTCCAGACAAGGCTCTCTCTAGGGGTATGGTGTGTCTGGTGATGCCTAGGAGGACTGCTTAGGCCTTGCAGCACTGTCCCCAGCATGGCCCCTGCCCTATGGCTGTCACATGCAGCAGCTGAGCCTAGCAACCTAGGGGAACTGGGCAGTGGAGGAGACTGGCATGTCTCTGGGCCACGCTGGGCACTGGCACCACAAACCTTGCACCATTGTCACCATGGACCCTTTATTACTGAAGGCACATCTACTGGCCTGTGTCCTCTTGCTGTCTCAGTCTGGTCCCTTTTCTGTCATCTGTGAGGATGGGGGTGATTAGTCTCTGCAGATATGAGGAGGCTTGTGGGGGAATAGGCCAAGCCAGGCCTCTACACCCCTCATCTTACTCCCACTCTCTGTGAGCACCACATCCATTAGTTTGCCCAAAGTGAGACATTTACAAAAACAATAAAAATAAATTTTTAAACATCAGAGCAAGAAGTGCTTTTATGGCTGTCAGAAATGACTTACATGTCACTTTTGTGATCTGCATTTTCTTTAGATATTTTCTGTATGTAATTGTAGTTTAAAAAAATATTCCAAACTATGTTTTGTCTGTGTGTCCTTACCAGAAGACAGCCTCCCCGCCGCCCCAGCCTGTGCCCTGCCCCAGACCTCCAGCCCTGTGCGGCACCTCCTGCCTGGTCACCTGGAGAACAGCATGGAGAAGACAGTCATCTCTGAAGGGAATTGGGCTCTCTTCAGAGCTGGAAGGAAGGCAGTTCATGGTCTTCCCAGCTGCTCTAGGGCGTCCCTGTGTCTTCTGAGCCACCCTGTCTTCAGCCAGCCTCTACTTCCACACACCTTGATCCTCACCCCACCCCTCGTCCCTCACTATGCTGCTCACACACCTCACCAGCCTGTCCAAGTAGCTGCCTCAGTTTCAGAGCCACGATTTGGGTGTAGAAGGGACTGACAGTGTGGACCTTGTTGTTCCCAACACCCCTGGGTCTAGGTGGGGGCCTGGTCGGGCACTTCACCCTCCTACATCCAATGTCTTCTCCCCCTGCTCATTTCTATAGGCTTAGTCTCACCTTGCACCCGCAGCTGTGGAGACAGCAAAGCCCAGAACAGCCTAGGCCCAGCCCACACCTAGAGACCAGTGCTGTTTCACCATCCTGTTTCACCATCTGGCAGCCCTTACTGGACCCATCTGCCCTCCATAATGCCCTCTCCGCAGTAGGCCTTGCTGTCCATCCACTGACAGTGAGTTTTACCTCATTGGATCTGTTTTTTTTTTTTTTTAAGTTGTTGGACACAATACCTTTATTTTATTTTTATGTGGTGCTGAGGATTGAACCTCTCTCGTACTAGGTGAGCACTCTACCACTGAGCCACAACCCAGTCCTGGATCTGTTTTGATTATGATAAAAAAATAAACCCATCTATCTCCCACTTCTTCTGGACCTCCTCTGGGGCACAGCCCAAGCACCAAGTGTCCAATACTCTTCTTACAGTGTAGCCAGGAGTGAGAACCGCAAGACATGGCAGATATTTGGTGTTCAAGGTAATGAGGGACAGGGTGCACCAAGACATAGGATTCCAGACGTTTTAGACCTTCCTACAGGTGAGCAATCTGTTAGAATGCTCCAAGCCTAGACCCTAACACCCTTTTATCTCTCAACACAAAGTAGCTTCTCAGGTTTATTAATGTGCCTTCACTGAATCTTCTAGTAATAAAACCTGCATATACATCTAGGAAATAGTACTTAGTTCATTTAGGAAAACACGGTTCCTTCTTTTTTTCCTCCCCCAAACATCCCTGGGATCTTCAGTCCTTTAATATGACTGGCTGTGTCTTCTGAATGCAGGTTGTTCCCTGGGGCTTCTGTCCCCTTGATTGAGTTCACATGCCCAATTACCCAAAGTGTATTTTACTACAAGTCACTTTTGTTTCTTCTTACGTTAGGGCACTGCGTCCTTTTTTAAACCAAGTGTGAGGTGGTGCGTTTTGATTTCAGGAGGACGTAGCGACGGTGCAACAGAACACCTGGATGAAAGCAGGAGCCACAGCCCCAAGGTGCTGTGAGCAAGGTCGCCCCTCCGCCCGGCCCCGCCCACACGTGTGCCTGGTGACCAACGCTGGATGCTGATCTGGCCCTAAAGCTCAGGGTGCCTGAGGCAGGCAGACTACACCTCCCGGGACGTTCTGCGCCCGCGCGCGCCGCGAGGAGGGGCGGGGCCTAGGAGAGACCCGCGGGGTGGACGTCAGGGGTAGGGCCTTGGGCGGGGCTTGGGCGTTGGACGGAAGGGGCGGGGCCTGGGCGGGGCCTGGGCGGAACCTCGGTGCAGCGCGCGAACTCCGGATCGCGGCGGCTGCGGCGGGAGCATGAACCTAGACCGGGAACTTCGCCGTGAGTCTCTTGGGGCCCAAGTACGGGAGCGCGGGGCGGGGAGTTGGTCTCCACTCATCTCCTCGCCCTCCTTCCTCCCGGTAGAACTGAGCAAGGCCAAGGCCAGGGCCCAGAAGAACGGGCAGCTGCACGAGGAGGCGGCCTTCTGCCATCAGCTGGGGGAGCTGCTGGCCAGCCACGGTGAGCGCACGCGCGGGCAGGCGGCTGGGAACTCTGCTCTTCCCCGCGGCCACCAAAGCGCCAATAACCCGCCTGGCCCGGTGACCCGCGCCGTGCCCTTATGCAGGCCGCTATGCTGAAGCCCTGGAGGAGCACCAGCAGGAGCTGCGGCTCCTGGAGAGCGTCCTGGACACCCTAGGCTGTGCGGTGGCTCACCGCAAGATAGGAGAGCGGTTGGCTGAGATGGAGGACTACTCCGCTGCCCTACAGGTGCGCACCCAGCGCGGCGGCCTGCGCCTATGGAGCTGCTTTCTGAGGAAGGAGGCCCCACTTGGGAGTTTCAGAGTAGAGGGACTGGGTCTGCCAGGGACCCAGCCTGGTTCAGGGGTCAGCGCACCACGGCCTTCCCTGGGACCAGGCAGTAGTGAATTCCTGACAACAGAAACTATTAAGGAACTATTACTTCTGCCCAGTTTTTTGGGAAGAGGGAGCGGGACCGACTGATGCTGGAGGTGGTGACAACACCCCAGCCAACTTCCAAGTCATCTATGTTATGAGCAACTATTACCACAGACAGCCTCTGGCACTAAGTAGATGAGGCATGTGTGGATGGCACTGCAGGGCCTTTGGAGAACCGAGGCTCTCCTGGGTGAGAGAGGATTCCCCTGGAGTTGGGACTTATGGGTTTGCTTAAGGTGAAATCAGCTCGGCTGCTTTTTCCCTCCACCAGCACCAGCACCGTCACCTGGAGCTGGCAGATTCCCTGTCCAATCACACAGAGCTGCAGAGGGCATGGGCCACCATTGGCCGCACCCACCTGGACATCTATGACCACTGCCAGTCGAGGGATGACTTGCTACAGGCACAGACTGCCTTTGAGAAGAGCTTGGCTATTATAGATGAGAAGCTGGAGGGTGAGTGCCCTCACCTAACTCCCGTGTCCCACCACCCAGGTCCCTTTTCCAAAACTCCTGCATGACAGTTTATAGGGCCTTTGCTGCCTGCAATCTAGATTCTGGCAGGCATCTGGTTTTTGTTCTCTTTATGCTTTGCCTGTAGCAAGACCTTTGTTCCCAAAGGTGTATGTGTGGGAGGAAGCAGCTCAGTATCTGGGGGGGGTTCATCTTCCAGGGACCCTGTCCCAGCGAGAGCTGAGTGAGATGAGGACTCGACTCTACCTCAACCTGGGTCTCACTTTTGAGAGCCTGCAGCAGACAGCCCTGTGCAATGACTACTTCAAGAAAAGCATCTTTCTTGCTGAGTGAGGCTCTATTCCCACCCCAGGAGGGAGCAGGGCCCCAAGATCTTCCAGAGGGGGCAGTCTGGTCAGGCTGTTGCTCTTCCATGAGCAGCGAAGCCTCTCACCTGTGCGGAGAGTTGGGGAGGAGTAGGTTCAGGTCCCAAGCTCTCAGCATGGCAGAGCTGTAATCCCTATGGCATCAGTAACCATAACTAGCTCGGTAATCTTTGCACCTCAGGGGTATCTTAAGTACTTTGCTGTCCTCTGTCCACTGTTATAGATCAGGGGAGGGTCCTGGGCACTTTGAGCACCTGTTACCTCGCCCTCTGCAGGCAGAACCACCTCTATGAGGACCTGTTCCGTGCCCGCTATAACCTGGGTGCCATCTACTGTCGGGAAGGGAAGCACTCTCAGGCCATGCGCTGCTTGGAGGGGGCCCGGGAATGTGCACGTGCCATGAAGAAGCGGTTCATGGAGAGCGAGTGCTGTGTGATGGTCTCCCAGGTGCTGCCCTCACCTACTCTAGGCTCAGCCCCCTCTGGATGGGCTTGGTCCCTAAGGAGTCAGCACCTTACTTTCTTTTTCTCCATAGGTCCTCCAAGATCTGGGGGATTTTTTAGCTGCCAAACGTGCTCTGAAGAAGGCCTACAGGCTGGGTTCCCAGAAACCTGTACAGAGGGCAGCTATCTGCCAGAGCCTCAAGTATGGTAAGGCTGGACAGGGCCTGAGGGTGAACCCCAAAAGAGTTGGAGGGCTCTGCTCCTCCAGCAGAGGAGGCCCAAGTATGTGTCAACTTTGTCTGGGCCTCTCCCAGCAAGAGGAATAAGTCCCTGTTGACTCAGACAAACCCTCATTTTCATCTGAGCCTGTAGCACAACATGTCAAAGGGCATTGAAGGGTGGTTGGGGGACTGGCCAAGCCTTTATTCACAGGGCAGTATCTTCACTGACAAGCTGACAGGTGGCATGTGTGTGACTCTATTCTGATCATAGTGATGGTCAGTGCTGATTGACAGTGATGAGCCCTTGCTGCAAGCCAGGCACTATTACAGACTGTAAGCTTATTTGTTCTGATTTTGAAGGACCCACATGGTAGATTCTTCTACCCTCTCTTATCTGCTAGCAAGTGGTGGGACTGGGGTCAGTGTCCAATACTATGCTGCCCCCTTGCATGAGACTCTTTCTGGCAGTGCTAGCAGTGATCAGGCTGCAACAGCAGCTGGAGGAGTCTGAGAGCAGTGACCCTCAGGGTGCCATGGCCATCTGTGAGCAGCTGGGGGACCTGTTCTCTAAGGCGGCTGACTTCCCCAAGGCTGTTGAGGCTTATCAGAAGCAGGTATGTGGCCCCTGTGGGGTAGGAGAAAAGAGCCAGCAAGGTACAGAGTGGACCTGGGCCTTACTGTACCTCTCTCCAGCTGCACTTTGCTGAGCGACTGAATAGACCAGACCTCGAGCTGGCCACCATCCACGTGTCCCTGGCCGCCACACGGGCAGACATGAAGGACTATCACCAGGCAGTATACCACTATGAAGAAGAACTCAGGCTGCGCAATGGCAATGCCCTGGAGGTGATGTGCCCTGTTCCCTCCTCAGTGTAGGTTTGTCCTCAGGACTCTGCCTTAGGACCACCATTCTCCAGTGCGCATAGATGGGTGCCTCTCTGGACAGGACTTCCTTCTGAGAATCATTGAGCTCCATTTTTTAGAGATGGGGCAGAACCAAGGCAGATATTCCTGTTGTGTGTAGGCACCTGGGGAAGCCAGCTTATGGATGTCGTGGGCAGCAGCCATCAGCTCATTCTTCCTCCACTCCAGGAGGCCAATACCTGGTTCAACATTGCACTCTCCCGCGAGGAGGCTGGTGATACATATGAGCTTCTGGCTCCATGCTTCCAGAAGGCTCTTAATTGTGCCCAGCAGGCCCAGCAGCCCCAGTTGCAGGTACCTGAGCCTGCCCCACGTTTACTGGGTCCCCAGCAAGCCCAGCTTGCCTGTCCCTCTTGTCTCATGCCCCTTTCTCCCTGCCTCACCCCCAGCCTTGAGCAAGAAGATGTCCTCTTTCTCCTCAGAAGCAGGTATTGCAGCACCTCCACACTGTGCAGCTGAGGCTACAGCCCCAAGAAGCTCCTGGCACCAAAACCAGACTGCAAGAGCTGAGTGCGACTGAAGAACTGGTGGAAGAGGAAGAGGAGGAGGCAATGGAAGAGGCGGCAGCTAGCGTGGCCCTGGAGGCCAGTGAGCTAGAGCTCTCAGAGAGTGGTGAGGGCAGTGTGGCTGCAGCTGGCCTTGTCCCTGACTCTTGCTCTGGATTAGGTCCTGGATTGGTACTTTGCCTACACAGAGCCTGCTCAGGACTGACCAGCAGTCAGGCAGGCAGCCCTTGCTTCTGTGGAGGTAGACAAAGGGCTGGAAGCCTACAGGGAGGCTTTACAGGGCCAGAGCCTGGGGAGACAGTCTAGTAGAGGCCTGTGTTGCACATCCAGGCAGGGTGAGGTAGGGTGCATCTCAGGGCCTTGCTGCTTCATGCCAGAGCCAAGCACATTCCTGGAACCCTCCAGAGGCTGGTGTGGTCATCTGTGCAGAGGGTGGGTGTGAAGGACTGACTAGAGCAGATCTTGGACTTAAGTCACAGCTATGGGGTTAGGGTGAGAAGATACGGGGCTGAGAATAGGGTTGGTGGGAGGTAGGGAGCTGAGTCTGATTTCTGACTGAGGAGTGGGTAGAGGGAAGCCTGGCTATGAGGTTTGGAGTGCAGGTTCCTGGAAAGACTGTGACTTGAAAACTTCAGGGGCCTCTGGGACCACAAGTGAGTAACCCAGCAGCCATGGGAAGTTGGGCCAGGTCTTAGAGGAAGGTCAGGTTGGACATTGCTGGTGTGTGAGTGGTGTGGGAAGAGGTGACCAAGGACTAAAACAAAAGGGAGAACTGTTCAGCAGGTAGGCAACAGAAGATAGTGTAGAAAGAGCAGTGGCAGCAGGGAAGGAACAGAAGAGAATCTTTGAGTATCACCAGGACCAGGAGTGGGTGGAAAATGAGAACAGGCAGGGTACACGGCCTAACAAAGATATTTGAGAAGGTGGCAGAAGGTCTGGATGGAGACTGCCCTGTAGAGCAGAGCCTGGGGGCAGGGGTGAGTGGGCAGTTCCACTGAGGGAGGGCTGCATCCCCTGTTGACAGAAGAATAATGGGGCCTTGGCAGGTGAGGGATAGCCTAGGAGCAAGGTTTGGCTCCACAGGTCTGAATTCTGGTCTCCTGCTATGGCTGCTGCTGCCTCAGAAGTCAGAGGAGCCTGGGCAGGGCAGGGGTTTGTTTCTACTGCTGGCTCCTCACAGGCTCAGTCAGTTGGCTCAACTCTTCCAGAGGATGATGCTGACAGCCTGGCCTGGCAGCTGGAGGAGGATGAGGAGTTTCAGGGTTGCCTAGGCCGGCGGAAGGTGAACAGGGTAAGGACCATGTGCCCCAGTCCCTCCTGTCCTGGCAGCCGCACCCATCCCTCACACCTCTGCCCCAAGTCAAGGCTACTCTGCCCACAGTGGAACCGGCGCAATGACATGGGGGAGACCCTGCTGCACCGAGCCTGCATTGAGGGCCATTTGCGCCGTGTCCAGGACCTTGTGAGGCAGGTAAGCTATTACGCCAACAGACTGCTTGGCCCTAGCTCCATTAGGGAGGAGCTATGGGCTCGACTTTCTCATATTTAAAATGGGCCCTAAGATGCCAAGCAGAATCTGGGCTGGCCTGGCCAGGATGGGAACTGTATTACAGACCAAAACCCTGGTGCCCTCCCTCTTACCTCAGGCCCTTCAGCTAGGCCCTGTGGCTGTTCAGCCAGCCTTATGGGGCAGAAGTGGTACCCTCATTGAGGAGACCTCAGGCAGTGGAGGAGAGGGCCAGAGCCAGGCTGCAGAGCACACAGGGCCAGGTTCCTTCCTGTCCTTGGTCACAGGGCCACCCCCTGAATCCTCGGGACTACTGTGGCTGGACACCTCTACATGAAGCCTGCAACTTTGGACACCTGGGTGAGCAGGGGATGGGCAAGTCCTGGTGCACAACACAGGGTTTAGAGAGCGAGGAGGGGCTGAGCAGACATTGGGAGCTGGGCTTATGTCCCTACCTGCAGAGATCGTCCGCTTCCTTCTGGACCACGGGGCTGCAGTGGATGATCCAGGTGGCCAGGGGTGTGAGGGCATTACCCCTCTACATGACGCCCTTACCTGTGGCCACTTTGAGGTGGCTGAGCTGCTTATTGAGCGAGGGGCATCTGTCACTCTCCGAACCAGGAAGGTGAGCTGGGGTAGTGGTGATGGGTGACGGGGTGGGTGGGAGCTGCTCTGTTCCCTGCTCAGCTGGGTGCTACACAGGGCCATAGCCCACTGGAGACACTGCAGCAGTGGGTGAAGTTGTACTGCAGGGACCTAGACCTTGAGACACGACAGAAGGCAGCAGCCATGGAGAGGAGGCTCCAGGCGGCTTCTTTAGGCTCAGGCAAGTGGGGCCTTCTTCACCTGTGGATATTGCCTTGGGCTCTGGGCCCTAACACTCCAGCGTAGGGGGCAGAGAGAGAGAGAGTCTGGTACCTGTCTTATGATGCATTCTCCCTCCTACAGCCTCCCCAGCCTCCTGGACCATACCAAGTAACCACCTGTTTGATCCTGAGACCTCTCCTCCCTCAAGCCCCTGCCCAGAACCCCCTTGGCACACTCCTAGGTCCTCAGAGGCCTCTCTAGCCTGCACCAGGGTTTCCCCACAGCAGGCTGCATCAGTTGTGGCAAAGCCTCGAAGGAGTAGGCATAGGTTGGCCAGCAGCAGCAGCTCAGAGGGTGAGGACAGTGCTGGGCCCCACATGCCATCCCAGAAGAGGCCAAGGTACTCTGCCCCTGCACAGCAGGATGAGGCCAGGACAGCTTGCCCTGCCAGCATCAGGGAGGCGAGTACCGTGAGTGCTGGCCAGGCAGCCTATCAGGCAGCCATCCGAGGTGTGGGCAGTGCCCAGAGCCGCTGCCTCAGGCAGGGCCCTTGGGGCCCAGGTGAAGCCCCTACACCCCAGACAGCACTCATTCCCGAGGAGGAATACCTGGCTGGAGACTGGCTGGAATTGGACACACCCCTGCCCCGCCGCCCATTCCGCACGCCCCGCCCCCAGGGCAGTGGGGACAGCAACAGGCCCAGTGCTGTAGGACCAGACAATGAGGAACACTCTGCCAGGCCCCGAACCTGGACCAGGCAGAGCCGCCTGACCTGTCTTGAGAGTTGCAGCACACTGGACAGAGCTGGAGGCAGCAGCTTGGTTGCAGAGCTCCCAGAGAATCCCAACGTGCCCAGGGTCCCTGGGGAAAGCCCTGCAACAGGCCAGCCCTTGGTGGGTGACAAGCTGGCAGCAGAGCTAAACCCCAGCTTGGGCAGGTGGAGATGGAGGCCTCTGTCTTTCCTGACTGCCCTGTCCCCTGTTCCTCCTATCAGGGTCTAGTACAGCCTCCTCCCATCCGGATTCGAGTTCAAGTTCAGGATAACCTTTTTCTTGTCCCTGTCCCACACAGGTATGGTGACATCTACCCTCTCTGAACCCCAGTTCCCCCTGCCCACCATTCAGCCCTTTGCCTGAGCCCTCAGTGGTAGCACAGTACACAGTTCCTTTGTGTACATTGTCAGGGTGGGATGTGTGATGACTGCCTCGGTGGCCTGTCCCTACTGTTCCCTAGGGTCCCTGAGTGAATGTGGCCTGGGCAGTCTTATAGTCCCTAGGAGTAGTCTGAGGAGTAGGTAGGATGCCAGGCTGCAGGGACAGAAGGCTGCTATTCAGGGGAGGGAATGGGAAATCCACCAGGAGAGAGAGCTGTAGGCCTCAGCAGTGTTGGCAGAACTCTAGGACATCTTATGGGTGCAGCATCCCACCCTCCCCCAACAGTGAGGTCCACTCTGTGGCTTGGCTGGCTGAGCAGGCCTCCCAGCGCTACTACCAGACATGTGGGCTACTGCCCAGACTCAGCCTGCGGAAGGAGGGCGCATTGCTGGCCCCTCAGGACTCCATCCCTGATGTGCTGCAGAGCAACGATGAGGTAAGCCACAGCCATGGGCACAGACCACCCCCAGGAGCTGCCTCTCCAGGCTGCTCACCAATAGTGCTCACCAACGGTGCTCTTCAGGTGTTGGCTGAAGTGACTTCATGGGACCTGCCCCCGCTTATCGACCGCTACCGCAGGGCCTGCCAGAGCCTGGGACAAGGTAAGGGCTCCAAGAGCCTGGCTTTAGGTGAAGCCCTGAGCAGAGGTGGTTGGTATGCAGGCCCCATCTTCCAGTTGCCATTTCCAGTTCTGTGGTGCACCCTTCCCTGCCTAACCCTTGCCCCCATGTGTGGGTTACAGGTGGGGGCAGACAACCCTGAGCTCAGGAAAGGAGCTGCTGGGAAGCTTGTTGGGGGATGGAGATGTGAGAGTGGCTCACCTATGCAGATACTCATGGCACTGAATCCCAGGCTTGTGGGAATAGACTCAGCTTTAACTCCTGGGGCTGCCTGGTTTGTCCACAGAACTCCAAAGGCAAAATGTAGGCACTGGCCCTAGTAACCCCATGTCTCCCTCATCAGGGGAACACCAACAGGTGCTGCAGGCCATGGAGCACCAGGGCTCAAGCCCCTCCTTCAGTGCCTGCTCCCTGGCCCTGAGCCAGGCCCAGCTCACACCCCTACTTCGAGCCCTCAAGCTACACACAGCGCTCCGGGAGCTGCACCTAGCAGGGAATCGGCTCGGGGATGGATGTGCCAGTGAGCTGCTAGCTGCTCTGAGCACCATGCCCAGCCTGGTCCTCCTTGATCTTTCGTCTAATCACCTGGGCCAGGAAAGTCTACGCCAACTTGCCGGGGGCCCTCAAGGCCAGGCCACCTTGCAGGTAGAGCTTAGGGTGCAACAGGCCAGCAACTCTAGTAACAGGTTGCAACAGCTGGGAGAACTGGCCAATGCCCAGCCTGGAACAGGGATCCTGCAAGGAGACTAGACCTGAGGGGACTGGGCCCATGGATGTCAAGGGGCTCAGTGTTCACCATGTTTTCCACAGAACTTGGAGGAGCTGGACTTAAGCATGAACCCTCTAGGAGACAGTTGTGGTCAGGCCCTGGCTTCCCTCCTGCGGGCCTGCCCCTTACTCAGCACTCTGCGCCTGAAGGCTTGTGGTTTTGGTCCCAGCCTCTTCCTGAGCCACCAGGCAGCCCTGGGCAGTGCCTTCCAAGGTGAGCTGACCAGGCAGGTCTAATCCCTGAGCCAGGTGTGGAGGCATTAAGGGTCTTGGGCATAAGGACCAAGATGGGATTTGCTTGGGATTTCAAGCCTGGCTTCTTCAGGAGGAGCTAACTCCTCTGAACGCACAGGTAGACGTGTGGGTGCTGGACCAGTCTAGGCTGTGCTCCCAGACCACAGCACACTACAGGCAGGATCCCAGGCAGGCCATCTCTGCCCTGAACCCCAGCAAATGCCTATGGCTAGAACCTTCTGCGTGCCTCAGTTCTGCCATGAGCATAACTGGAAGCCCTAGTGCCAAGAGGCTGGGAATAGAGCCACCTAGGGATCCCTGGGGCAGGGGCTATATTGGGAAACAGTGGTGTGAGTTCCTCCTGATCCCCCCACAGATATGCTGGCCCAGGGCCCATCTCCAGCAGCCAGGGATTGGTGGGTGGGGAAGGCTGGGCTCAAGAGAACTTGGGCAAGAGCCGTTGCCACTAAACCTGTTTCCCCACAAAATTAGTGGAGAAGAGCCTCTCCAAAAGGGGTCATAAGTGTTCTAGGCCCAGAACTCAGGGTGGAGGGTGGGTAGGTTGGTGGCCACATGAGGCCTACAAATTCTGGTCCTGGTACAGATGCTGAGCACTTGAAGACCCTGTCCTTATCCTACAATGCCCTGGGTGCCCTTGCCCTGACCAAGGCCCTGCAAAGCCTGCCCACCTGTACTCTTTTGCACCTAGAACTTGGCTCCGTGGCAGCCAGCAAGAGTGACTTGGGCTTCATGGAGCCCATTGTCAGGTATCTGGCCAAGGTATGAGGTGGGGAAAAGCCAGAACATGAGGCTTCAGAGAACAAAGATTCCCATAACTGTGACCTTTGGGAGGTTGGAGGGATTGATTTGGGACAAACAGCTGCAGGACACCTGTACAGACACCTGCCTCAGGCTATGAATTCCTGGCCACCAAAAAGGATATCTGGGACTTGGGATGGCCTCTCTACCCCAAACAGTTCCCAAGGAACACACCAAGCCCCTGTGTTTTCTCCCAGGGACTTTTCCAGCTGGGGCTGAGTCCTTGTGGTTTCACATCACAAGGTGCCAAGCATGACTTACACCAGGAAGGAGAAGAATTTCCTTCTCACTTCCAAGTTCAGGGGCTTCCTAGGTGTGGGGACCTCTGCCAGGAGGAAGGAAGGACCAGTGCCCACTGGGCTTGGCTCCCTCCCTGTGCTTATGTCCAGGAAGACTGTGCTCTGGTCCACCTGACCCTGTCTGCAAATTACCTGAATGACACAGCTGTGAGAGAACTAAGCAGGTGATGCCCCTGCCCTGTTGCCTATTGGGGGTCTCAACCTGAAGACCTGGGAACCCTGTTCCTCTGACATCCACCCTGTCTTTAGGGCTGGCCTGGCAAGCATGCTGCTATCCTAAAGGGTTTTTATTATTATTATTATTATTACCATACTCTTGTGACTCTTGAGAGCTTTCCCTCTTATATGGCCTTTCTTGGCACACTCTGTGCATCAGTCCATGTCCCTGGAGACTTGGCTGGCTCTAAGGGGAGTGACAAGAGGTGTGCGAGTTTGGCAGTCTCGACCTCTAGGTAGTGCTGCCAACCTTCCCTATGCTGTGTTGGGCCACAGCCTGCTGGGCCTGGCCTATGGCTCCCAGAGCTAGGGTTTATAGGGCAGCTTTCCCTAGAGATTGAGTGAGGGCTTCTGTGGAAGCTAATCCCTGAACTTCCCACACTGTCTCAGGTGCCTGCCTCTCTGCCGCTCACTCATCTCTCTGGACCTGTCTGCCAACCCTGAAATCAGCTGTGCCAGCCTGCAGGAGCTCCTGTCTGCCCTCCAGCAGAGGCCTCAAGGCCTCCACTTCCTTGGCCTTTCAGGTGAGGACTGAGTATGGTGGCCACCTCTGCCACGCTTTCACAGGCTGAGGCTCAGGGAACTTCTAAGAAGCCAGCATGATGAAAGAGTGTGGAGCATGACAAGAAAGGGACAGGGGAGCCTGGGGTCTTTGCCTCTCCCCAATCCAGCCTCACCCTCAAGTGTAGACAATAACAGGCCCCTCTCGAACAGGGATCTCCTCATTCTCGATGGCAGAAAGAGGAAACCCAGGGTCCAGGTTCACTGCCACAATGGGACCCTCTCACCTTCTGGCAGGGGTTGCTTTGACCCTCTCTGTCCAGGCTGTGACAATGCAGCTTGTTCTGCAACACCAGGGCAGCTCCCACCTGTGTTGTCTGAAGGACAACTCCAGAAGAGGGGAATTTGGTGAACTGGCCCACCAGCAGCCTGGCATCCCTAGCTGAGGCCTGGGCAGAATGGCAGGCTTTGCCCTTCAGGGGACATAGGCTTGTGCACAAGGGAACCCCTGAGTTCTTCCTGGGCTTTTCATTTCCTGCTTCCTCACCTGGCTGGATTCCTGGCACCTGCAACGCCACGCAGCTTCCCCAGGTTCTGAGGCTACTGGGCTTTCTGGCCAGAGGACAAAGCTCTTGAGCCCTCAGGCCCACGACATAGAGATCTAAAAATTCATTTTATTGGTGGGTGGCCAAAGTGTAGGCACTTTGGAGGTGGCGTCCACCAGGGGGCCCATCTGCCTGACCATGGGCCAAGCACACCTCCTTCCCACAATGAAGCAGGACTTTTTTGCCCTCCAGGCTGCACTGTCCAGGGTCCCCTGGGCCCGGGTCTCTGGGACAAAATCACCACGCAGCTGCGGGAGCTCCAACTATGTAGCAGAGGCCTGTGTGCCGAGGACCACGATGCCCTGCGCCAGCGGCTGCAGAGTCCCAGCTCCCGCGCTCTGACCCGGGGCCCCCAGCTCTTCTTCCGGGACCTCTGACCCTTCCCGTCCCCTGCCCAGAATCCTCAATAAACGTCTTTGCTGCCTTCTTGGAGTGGCTTCCTGGGAGGAGGGTGGGTGGTGTGAGGCGGGATTCATTTTGCCGCAGCCCATTCCTCAAAGAGGTCCCTGGCGGAAACCGGCCTGCGGGGGCGTGGCCAGAGCTAGCCCCGCGCAGAGCGCAGGCCGGAGCGCCGAGCGCCGAGCTGCCGATCGCGCCCTTTCCAGTGGGCGCGGGCGAGCGCCGAGTGGCCTGTCGGGAGCGCTCCGCCCCGGCGCCATCTCCGGGAGCGGCCGGGAGCGCCCAGGTACTCGCGGCGGGGCGGGACAGGCCTGGGCGGCGGGCGGCCCCTCGACCCGACCCCTCGGACGTCCCGCGTTCGCGCCCTCCCAGGTGCTCGGACTCCGCGGGCTCCCCCGCGCTGTGTCCCTGGGAGCTCGGAGGGAGCCGGAGCACGGGGTTCCATCCCGCCAGCGAGCTGTGATGCTGCTTCGGGGACCGCGCGCCTGGCTGGCGACTCTACTACGGCGCCCGCACCTGCTCACCAGGCCCCTGCCGTCAGGGTTCGCCCATCGTCCCGGTGCCACTAGGCCAGAAATGGGCGTCTCACTTTTAACTCCTTGTTTATTTCCACCCTGCCTCAAATTCTTCGATGCGACTGTGGTTTCACGCCTCAGCCATCCCCCCAACTTCCTTAGTAGGCAGGACCCTTGCAGGGGTCCTGTTTCCAAAAGACCCCTGCCTGGCAGGGAGCCATCCCACGAGGAGCTTGCCTTTAGCACTCCAATAGTTCCTACCATACTACGATAAAACCCTCTCTCCTTCCTTTTACCCTAGAACATCCTGGGCTCAGAAAGCCCAGCCCCTCTCTGAAGGGTTGTGCTAGGTTGCTCTCCTCTGCCTCAAATGCTGTGTTCCAACAACTGTCCTGTCTCAGAAGGATGGGGGTTCCATCTTCTGTCCTGCACATCACTCTCAGTGCCTCCAGCCGCTCTCGCTTCTGACACCCCATGGGCTCTGTGTTTTGATAGTTGTGGAGGGCCAGTGGGGAAGATGTACATCAGGGCCTGACTCAGGGTGTCAGGGTCCTCTTGAATTGGTGCTGAATGTACTCCCCAGGTTTCACTTGTGGCTGACAGAGCCTGCAGGATGTTTCACGGGATCCCAGCCACTCCCGGCATGGGAGGTGAGTATGCCTGCACCAAGCAGAACAGGAAGGGCCCAGGCTTATGCTGTGGCGTGGCTGATGGGAATGTGTTAGGGGAGGGAGTCAGTAAGTCACCGACCTCCCCCCACCCTCATACTGCCTTGGAGGTGGCCAGAGGTAAACAGTAAGAGCCCCAAGACCTCCAGGTAGAGCTAGCCTGGCCTTGCTCAACACAGAGATGATGAGCTTCAGTGTGCACAGAGCATCGGCATCCTGGGAATTCCTGCATTGAGCCCAAGTTGTAAGGTGTGTGACAAGCTTTATTTGCACCACACTGTGGCATTGTAAACAAAGTGGGGTTCTCCCTGCTGTGCAGCTAGGCCTGCCACAGCCATTCAAAACCAATATCCTGCCCACCGACTGGAGGTGAAAATGGAAACCCCCATCCTTCAGCTCCATCTAAGTTCTTTGGGATAGAGCTCAAGAGAGGCCTGAGGGAGGAAACTGAATGGGGCTGGGATCAGAAACTGCCCTGGGGTCACTTTGTGGCCAGCCTGCTAGCTCTCTGCCTACTCTGTTGCAGCCCCTGGGAACAAGCCAGAGCTGTATGAGGTGAGTAACAGGTGCCTACCTGGCCAGTGTTGGCCCACAGCAAACAGCTGTGTGGACCCTCACTGGCCCCTAGGGCCACCAGATGCAACTGGGTGACATGTTACCTACTCTCTCCAACAGGAAGTGAAGTTGTACAAGAATGCCCGGGAGAGGGAGAAGTAAGTCAAGCATCCAGGCTGCCCCCAGCATGCACCTGTACCCATCCAAGCCTCCTGGGAGTAGCCACCCCCAAACCCACCACCACATTGGCAGTTGGGGAAGACAACATGGGGTCAGGTTTGGGGGACATTTTCCAAGGAACATCTGCCAGGGATGGGCTGCGAGGAGGGCTGACAGGTCTACCATAGCTGCGTCCCATTGTGGGAGGTTTCCCTGCTTCAGGGCCATGCCTGATGGTCATATTGTCTCAGGTATGACAACATGGCAGAGCTGTTTGCAGTAGTGAAGACAATGCAGGCACTGGAAAAAGCATACATCAAGGACTGCGTCACCCCCAACGAGTGAGCAAGCCCACTACCCTTCAATGTCCAAAGGGTACCCTACCTTGGGAGCCAATTTCTACGCTCTGCAAGGCAGAGGGGCTCAGTAGGCGGCAGAAATAGTGGTCTGGGGCTTTTGCTGGGGCATTCACTTCTGTAGGGCTCCCAGCATCATGGTAATGCTCCTGGGTGCTAGGTGGCCTTGGTGCTATTTCAACCAGGGAAACCTTGCATGGGTGGAAACATATCTAGTGAAGGACAGACATGCAAATATGTGTGCTCCTGGCCCTGTCTTCCAGGCATGGGTGACCAGATTCGTGGAAAGTCCCTGGAGGCCAGGAGGGAGGTTGGGGATGTCCAGTAGGAGGCAGTGCTACTTAGGCCTGGCACCCAGTGTGGATGTGGGGGTTTCATTCAGTGAGGTAATAAGCCCAGCAAGCCTTTGGCCCCCTCAGGACAATGTGAACCTGTGCCAATGTGAGTCTTATGCCCTGTGGCCATAGTATTTTGGCCTCTGCTCTCCCCCAGAATTCTTGTCTTGTATAGACTTGATGGCAAGCCTCAGCCCTCAGTGTCCAGTCTCTGATTCCATCACCTGGTCTTCCATGAGAGCCACTATGTCTGAACAGGCTGGGAAAAGCAGGATGAGCGGGGGCTGGTTTCAGGTATGGGTAGCAGCTGGCCCTTTCACTAGGTACACTGCAGCCTGCTCTCGGCTCCTGGTCCAGTACAAAGCTGCCTTCCGGCAGGTTCAAGGCTCAGAAATCAGTTCCATTGATGAATTCTGCCGCAAGTTCCGCGTGAGTGAGCCACTCTCTCCACACCACAGGAAGGGTGCGGTGGGGTGCCCCTGAGAAGAGGCCATGGCCTGCATAGGGCCTGCCCCTCTGCAAGACTGAGCACCTGCATCTGCTCCCTTCAGCTGGACTGCCCACTCGCCATGGAGAGGGTTAAGGAAGACAGGCCCATCACCATCAAGGATGACAAGGGCAACCTCAACCGCTGTATTGCTGATGTTGTCTCAGTAAGCCCAGTCTCCTGGGAGGGCGGGAGGACTTGCTGCAGCCCACCACTGGTATAGAGTCCCAGGGCCTCAGCTGAGCAGCATCCCAAAGCCCACCTGGCTGCCCACAGGCACCTATGAGACAGGCTCAGGGTCCACTCTGGCAAGATCCTGGCCTGGGAAAGTTGTATGTAGGTGTACCCATAGTTTCCACATAGCTCTCCTTGCAGCCAGGAGACACCTCCAGGAGGGTCTTGCACATAATGCCCCAGACAGGAAAGAGCCCCAGGGCTTCGGGATCAGGTATGGTGAAGAACCTGAGGTGGGAGCAGCAGGGAAGGCTAGACCCTGCAGGGGAACCTGCCAGGGGCCTCCCTACACCAAGCTGGTCTGTGAAACCTCGTACATGCCCCCCCAGCTCTTCATCACAGTAATGGACAAACTGCGCCTAGAAATCCGCGCCATGGACGAGGTAAAGGAGTCGGACGGAATGGGGACTGGGTTGGTGGGCAGGCAGGGTCAGAGTCCCAGCCCCTCACCTGTGTCTGCAGATCCAGCCTGACCTGCGGGAGCTGATGGAGACCATGCACCGCATGAGCCACTTGCCCCCAGACTTTGAGGGCCGCCAAACAGTCAGCCAATGGTGAGTGCCTCTCCTATGTAGGCCCTCACAGAGGGGCCCTCGTGGCCTTGCTGCCCACACCCCCACTCACTGTGCTTCCAGGCTACAGACCCTGAGCGGCATGTCAGCATCTGATGAGCTGGATGACTCCCAGGTACGGCAGATGCTCTTCGATCTGGAGTCCGCCTACAACGCCTTTAACCGCTTCCTGCACGCCTGAGCCTCAGAGTGGCCCATGGGGGATGAGGGATGGCTACCTAGGGGACCATTCCCCACTTCCTCTGGCCATACCCACCTGGACAGCTTTGTGAGACTTGATGTCCAGAGCAGCTGTCTGTGTCTGTGTTGTCAAGACTCACCCCTAATAAAGATGCTATTGTTCTGCCTGTGGTGGGTAGCTATCCTGGGCCTGCCCTTCCTGATCTGTCTACCCTGCTGAACTTCTGGTAGGTTCCTGCAGCCACTGCTCCCCAAATCAGTATGGGACTTGGCCCTGTCACTTCCACTCTGCACACAATCTGTTTCTGCAGGGGCATTGTCCTCCCCAGTGGGCCTTGCCTGGGCACATAGGAGGGCTGGGGGAATCTCCACTGCGCCTGCCATGCCAGCCTCCCCGCTCAGCACCTGAGTGCTCCAGGCAGCCTGGGGCTTGATGAAAAACTACCAACCATAACAAGGCTGCCAGCTGCCCTAGCAGTCCATTTTGGCATTTGTTGTGAACCTGACTCATGTCAGAGACTACTGTCCTGGCCAGGTAGGGTGGCACAGGCTTGTACCACCATACTAGGCCACCATACTCAACTACTAGGAAGGCTGAGACAAGAGGGTCACAAGTTTGAGACTAGCCTGAGCAACTTATATGACCCTGTGTCAGAGTAAAAAGGAGTGGGAATGCATCTCAGTGGTAGAGCACACCTGGGTTCAATCCCTGGTATGAAAAAAAGGCACCCAGGGAAAAGCAGTAAGCCACAAGACCAAGAGAGGCATGCTAAACATTGCAGCACATGGCACCAGGGTATGGCAGAGCAGGGTGCTGGTAGAACAGCCTTGGTGGCTGGGGAATAGCCTTTTTGTGTGTGTGGAAGGGGTACCAGGGATTGAACCCAAGGGCACTCGACTCCTAAGCCACATCCCCAGCCCTATTTTGTATTTTATTTAGAGATAAGGTCTCATTGAGTTGCTTAGCGCCTCACTTTTGCTGAGGCTGGCTTTGAACTCACGATCCTCCTGCCTCAGCCTCCCAGGCCGCTGAGATTACAGGCGCATGCCACCACACCTGGCAGAAATAGCCTTTTGATACTACAGCATGTAAGGCCTGCAGGAGTTCAGAGGGGCTGGTGGCGAAGGTATGTTGCTTTGATCTCTTTTCTTTTATTGTAATAAAATGTAAATTTGCCACTGTATCCATTTGGAGTGCACAGTTCAGTAACTTCAGGCAATTTTGCTGCAGTGAGCCATCTTCACTGCCTGAACTCCCCATCTTCCCAAGGTGAACCTCAGCACCCAGGAAGCACCACCCGAGCCCTAGCACCCTTCTGCTTCCTGTCTGTATTTGAGCACTCCAGCCCCAATGTGTAGGTAGAATCCACTGTTTGTCATTTTAGGAATGTCTGTATTTCACTCAGCAGTGTCCTCTAGTGCACCTGTGTTGTACCATGTGATGGGATTTCCGCCCTTCTAAAAGGCAGAGTGCTGCTCCAGCACGCCTACACCTACACACACTATGGCTTGTCACTCACCCCTCTGTGGACACTGGGTGGCTCCACCTCCTGGCTGTTTTGCGTAATGCAGCTGTGACAGGCTTATGGTTTTTGTTTTTTTACTGTACTGTGGATTGAAGCCAGGGCCTCACACACACTAAGCCAGCCTTCTACTGCTGGGTTACTTCCTCCACCTAGTGTTTTGTTTTTATGATGGGTGCGATTACATTGAGCTTACTGGATGATGGAATGACGCAGAGGATCTGGGATGCAGGAAAGGGTTCGGTACTGTTGCAAGAGGGCAAAATTGCGATGTATGCAGTCGAGGGGAGAAATAAAAATGTCCATGTGCTTCTGCTCCTTTCAGTGCTTTATTCTCTCAAATTACTCCATACAGTTTCACTCTGTAGGTTCTTAATCAAGAAAACGACAATCCTTAATGCTGGCACTGCAATAGACATAATCAATTCACGGCAAATAATTCTAGATTCATTCTAAGCACTGCAAACACACCTAATCATGACAGGCTAATGACAGACATCCCCTCTGCAGGCTAAGTTCAAAAGTCCTAAGTCTTAGGATTTATGTCCAGCAGATGCCCACCCACTCAGACTGCGGTGACCAGGTCCGGAACCAAGCAGGCTTTTCCTGGCATGGAGTGGACGACCGGTTGAGGAGGGGTTCTTAGGGAGAAGTTGCGGCTCTCACCAAGGTCCAGATGAGGTGGTAGAGTTTGAGAGTGGTGACGATCACGCAGAGGCTCAGGAAGGATGACAAGTGATGGGATGTCAGGTCCTCACCAGGCTCTCCAGCTCCAGTGCATCCTTGTTTCGGGTGGCTGAATCCCTGTTCATTAGCTCTACTATTTTTACTAAATTTGGGGCTTTTGACCCCCCTTTCAATCCTTATCAGCTACCACTGGATTTCTCAGTGACATCATTTACCCTGGGGTCAGAAACATCTGGTCTGGTGTCTCCCCCACCCCATCTTCTGGCCTTTCCCTCTTATCAGGGGAGGACAGCCTGCCAGGGGCTTCACTCTGTTGATGAAGGTCAGGGGAAGTGACTTGTTTGAGGAGGGCTCTGTGAGTGTCCCGGGTGAGCCTGGGTACTGGTGAGTTGCTTAGGCTCAGGCCTAAGGCCATCCTCACAAGTACCCAGAGGACTGGCCTTACTGGGGAGGGAAGCCATCTGAGGATGCTCTCAGTGGTAGCTCTGAGACTAGACAAGAGGGCATTGGGAGAGTGGGAGGGCACAGGAGAAGGCACTGAGGCCCTTTGGGCAGAGGCCAGCCTTGCACTGACCTTTGAGGGCTCGGACAGTTTTGACCCCTGGGGTGCAGAGGTTAGAGAAGGCCTGAACATCAGACCCAGCCCAGATCTTTGCCCAGAAGCTGACAACTTGAGCATTGTGTGGCCAGAGGCTGTTTCAAGCCAGCCTGGTCCTAGCCTCTAACCAGCCCAGTGGTAGAAGGAAGTAGAAGGAAACCTCCATTTTTGGCCATCGCATCTTGAGAGATGTGTGGGGCTGCCCTCTTTGTTGTCCCAGGCAGCCTCTCCCAGGCCCTGCCCTGACTCCCACTTAGGGACAGGCAGGAGAGGCACCTGACCCCAGGGTCCAGGACATCCAACCTGAAGCTCACCAGGCCCTGCCCTGCCCTACCCTACAGGGCTAGGGAACAGAGTCCTCAGCACAGGCTCCCAGCTCAACAACCCAGCCCCACCCTGCAGAGCTCAGGTGTCAGGGGTTGGCTGAACTCAGTGGGAGGAGCCCAGAGGCAGGGCTGCCCTAGGCCTGGGGGTGTCCAAGATCCCTGGGGTTCAACCCTTCCCCCAGACTGCACAGAGGTAGAGATAAGGCCCAGGGGTCAAAGGCTGGAGAGAGAGCAGCAAGGGGGAGCACACTGGGAGCCACAGCCTCCCCCCCACCCGCCCCAGGCCCAGAGCTTGGGCACTTCCCAGACCTCCTGCTCTTATTGCTCATCTCTCGGTCTTTGTCCCCGATGATGCCCATCCAATAAGAAGGACATGGTTTTGAGAAAAAGGACTGGCAAAGGAGAAACACAGGGGACTCCCAACCTGAAATCTGATGCCATCCCCAAAGTCTGGATGACTTTGTTCCTGTGATAGATGTGTATTCAAGGAAAGATAAATGCCTAAAATGGGGAAGAAAGTTCATCCTGTTTCCCCTGAGGTTACGGAGGGGAGAGATTAGAGAGAAGCAAGAGAATGAAGCAGGTCCATGTGAGCAGCAGGCCACATTCAAAGCAAAAAGTGAAGCACTGTTCCACCCTGACCCCAAGAGCCCTGCCGATGGGGCCAGGGCGAAGGTCCCGTCCTCCCTTCCTGTTTGTGTTGGAGCTTTGGCCGGTTCCTGGGGATTTTCCCTGAAGGGCTTGGGGTGTGGTCCATGACTCAGCAAGCACCTTTGTGGTTCCTTACACAGCAGCCCATCCCTGGCCCAGAGACCACAGCCCCATCCCCAACTTGGGCCACAGGCTTTGGGGAGACAGCTGGGAAGGCCCAGAGGCAGGTGTTGGCGGGAGGATTCTGAGGTGCCAACGTGGCATTCGTGCTGCTCTGCTCCAGGAGCATAAACTTGAGGGTGACCTCCAGAGAGAGTCCCAGGAGGGGATGCTGGGAGCCCTTGGGAGAGCAGAGGGGTGGCCCTGCACCACTACTCTGAGTTAGGCAGCACGGAAGGGATGCCCAGGCCATCACCGAGGGGAAGGAGCCCAGTCCTTACTCCCCAGCAGGCAGCAGCTCAGCTCCTGGCTATCAGGGAAGACCTGCCACTGGAATGGTTAACCCAGACACCTCCAGCAACCAATCACAGAGCCCTATAGGAAATACCTGGGAGAGGTCCTGGGGCTGGGGCCAGACCTGTAGAGCCCAACCCTAGTCTGGTCCCAGCAGCCCACAACTGGTTCAGACACACAGACTCCACACAGCACGCAGCACTCTGGGGACCAAGCATGGTGTTCCTAGCCCAGCTCACACCAGGGCTGCTGTTGGCCATGACGATGGTAACAGCGTTGGTGGCCCAGCCTGCCAGTCTGCTGAGCCTGCTCACCTCAGGCCAGGGCACTCTGAATGGAGAGGAGCTGAGCAGCCTATTAAATACGCTGGTGGACCGTGTGCACTGTTCCAGCGGGCCGTGTGGAAAGGTAACAGCCCCACCCGACGGGTCCCCCAGCCCCAGTGCTTCCTGCCTGCTCCACCCTGCAGCCTGCAGCCTGCAGCAAAGGGAGCTGGGCAAACTCCAGGAGGCGGGCCAGGGCCAAGGCCAGGGCCAGGCCTACCACAGGCCAGAGCCTTTCCTCCCCTGCTGGGGGCTGACAGGCCTGCCCCCCCACCCCTCCCACAGAGTTCCGCTCTTTTCCCCAGGCTACTAAGTTGGCAGTGGCTTCAGGAAGAAACCACCCAGAGATGGGGGTCTGACTGGTGGGGACCTTTGTGTGTGCTAGCCAATCGAGGGGCACGAGCAGGGTAGAGTGTGAGAGAGGGTCTAGGGCCCGTCCTTGCCAGGGCCTGCCTCTGCCCTCTCTGATGGGCCCAGTCCAGCTCCTGTCCACCTGTTTCTGCCCACAGTGCCTGTCTGTGGAGGATATCTTGGCCCTGGGTAGGCCTGACAAGCCAGGGCTGGCTCCAGGACCAGTCCTAGAGTCCAGGTACATAGCCCGCCTCAGTGCCGCTGCGCTCTCTATCTTAGCAATCCAGAGAGCACATGTGCAGACATCCAGGCTGGCCGCTGGGCCTCCCATGCCGACCACTTCCTGGTCCTACTGGAGAGTTCTGAGGCCCTGACCCAGGGCCTAAGTCTGCTGCTGCAGAAGATCAAGGCCCAGGCTGCTGGCCAGCCTGCCTGGGAGGAGGTGAGGGCCCATGTGGGCTGGTCAGGAAGTAGGGTAAAGTGGCCAGAACACAGGAAGGGGCCATTAGGGGGTCAGTCCTGACTAAAGCAGGGGAAACACCCCCACAAAGCCCTCCAGGTTTTGGGGCCACCTTGGGAGGTAGAGTGGCCCTGAGGGATCTCATAGGGGTTTACACTGACTGGGTCAGGGACTGCCAGAGCCAGGAGTCCCAGGAAAGACGGAGTAGGGTGTGGGGTTCCCCAGTGACGGGAGACCAGGAAGGCTCTGGTGCCCCAAGAAGGCCAGAGAGCAGACTGGGGGCCCGGACTAGCTGGGCCAGGGGGCTGGGCTGTGGCCCCAGGGAAGAACTGAGGCTAGCCAGGTCGTAGGTGAGAAGAAAGAAGTGGTTCTGAATCCAGGAAGTGCATCAGGCTGGTGGGTGCAGGCCCTGTGGATCAGTGGGAGACATATCCAACAGGTGAAGGCAGAGGTGGAGTCCAGAAGTTCATTGAGGGTGGGGCTGAGTGGTTACTACAGACTCCGTCTCAGGCACAGTTAGATTCAACCAAATCTGTTTTATTTTTTAATTTTTTTTTTAACTTTTATTTTTTAGTTTTTGGCAGACCCAACATCTTTGTTTGTATGTGGTGCTGAGGATTGAACCCGGGCCGCACGCATGCCAGGCGAGCGCGCTACCGCTTGAGCCACATCCCCAGCCCCCTAAATCTGTTTTATTAATGCTCATTGCACTTTAGACATCCTAATTCTAAGTCCTAACTGAGTCAACACCAAGGGTCCCAGGTGCCCACCTGTGACATGTCTTAAGTCTGGGTCTCTGGAACTCATCCAAGCCAGAGGAGTCTGGTGCAGGGGGGAAAACAGCAACCGAGGCCTCGGTCTCTCTGTCCAGGTCCTGTTGGTCCCGTTGCCCCATAGAAGTCTGGGTTTTTAAGTCCTAGTTCAGTTGTGCTTATGGCAGATAACTGGGTGAGGTCTGGGGAGTACGCTCCGGGTGTAGACGCTTACATCACTAACTGAAGTCTGTCTCTAAGTGTTGCAGTTCACATTGCATCATGGGCACATTACTTATAGTCACAGACTCATTCACTCAACCCACTAATTAATACTAACTAACATAGTCAACAATCAATAACCCTATAATAATTCTGGTGCTCCTATCACTATCCCCTCCCCAGGCCTGTGTCGATGTCCCTCAGCTGCTGGAGGAGGCAGTGGAGGCAGGAGCTCCTCAAAACCCGGGCCCTGTCCTGGCCGCCCTGCTGGACCACTTCAGGAATGGGTCCTGCTTCCATGCCCTGCCAAGCCCTCAGTACTTTGTGGACTTTGTGTTCCGGCAGCATAGCAGCGAAGCTCTCAACATGACATTGGCGGGTGAGACCTGGGCTGAGACCCCTCAGGCTCCATGTCCCTGGGAAGGGCAAACCTGGATCCCATAGACTGTGCACTCCTTCTGTCCTTCCTAACAGAGCTGGAAGCTTTGATGAAGCGCCTGGGAGTGGGTGGAGAGGCCCACAGTGACCACAACCACAGTGACCACGATGACCACAGTCAACTGGATAGGGAGGTCAACAACCGGGACCCCGTTTCCCTTGCCATCCTCAATAGCAGCTCCAGTGTGTGGGACACGGTGAGCCACCTGTGCAGTCTTAGGAGGACTGGGGGCCCCATGGGTGCATGCTCAGCCCCTGACCGCTGATCTGCACACCTCCCCGTAGGTGTGCCTGAGTGCCAGGGAGGTAATGGCTGTTTATGGGCTGTCTGAGAAGACTGGGGTGAGCCCCGAAGCCTGGACCAGATTGAGCCCTGCCCTGCTCCAGCAGCAACTGAGCGGGGCCTGCAGCCCCCAGGCAAAGTCACCCACCCAGGACCAGCTCAGCCAGACAGAGAGTGCGTGCCCAACCCCCCAGCTGAGCCTACCTGGCTGTGCCCCAAGGTGCTGGCCTCAGGAGTGGGGCCCACCTAGGGAAGAGGGAGTGGCTACTGGGAATGGGGAGGAATGGAGGTAGAGAGGGAGGCAGGCCAGAAAGGAGGCCTGCACGGGGGCTCAGGGAGGCTTTGAGATAGGAGGGCCAGTGTCAGCAAAGGCCTTTGCTGACCACGGGCAGCCCTGGTGAACTCCTGCTCATCCCCTGGCTGGGCTTGGGAAGCAGGGGGTTCTCAGGGTGGCCTCACCCCCTAGGGTATCTGTATGGCTCCCTGGCCACACTACTCATCTGCCTCTGTGCTGTGCTTGGCCTCCTGCTGCTGACCTGTGCCAGCTGCAGCTCCGCCACCCACTATGTCATGCAGACCTTCCTGAGCATGGCCGTGGGTGCACTCACTGGTGACGCCCTCCTGCACCTGACACCCAAGGTCTGTCCTCACCCATCAGCCAGAGTCCTTCCTTTCCCTCCCTCTCCTGGCCTTCCCCAGACCCAGCCCTTCACCCCTGTGGGCCCTAAATCCCCCCGCCCTCACTCTGCTCCCCAGGTGCTGGGGCTGCACACGCACAGTGGAGAGGACCACACACACAGTGGGGAGGGCCTTGGCCCACAGTCCACCTGGCGTCTACTGGCCGTGCTGGGAGGCCTTTACATCTTCTTCCTGTTTGAGAGCCTCTTCAACATCCTGCTGCCCAAGGACCAGGTCAGGCTCGTAGGGACCCAGTGGGTACACAGGAAGGAGACTTGAAAGCCCCTGACCACCTTCCCCACAGGATCCAGAGAAGGACGGGCACTGCAGCCATGGTGGCCACAGCCATGGTGTGTCCCTGCAGCTGGCACCCAGCGAGCTCCGGCAGCCCAAGCAGGCCCACGAGGGCTCTAGCGCAGACCTGGTGAGTGGGCCACCCCTGCTCCACGCAGAGCCGGGTTCAGGAGAACCCTCCATAGTCCCGTGCCCTGTTCCCACGTCAAGGCCTGACCCCTTCTCCACCTCAGCCAGGGCTCCCCCTCGCTCCTCCCAGGTGGCAGAGGAGAGCCCGGAGCTGCTGAACCCCGAGCCCCGGAGGCTGAACCCAGGTGAGCTCTGGGGAGGCGGGAGCGCCAGGGCCCGCGGGCAGTGGGCGGGCGGCAGGGCGGGAGTAGGCCTGAGAGGACTCATGCCCATGGCGCCCGCAGAGCTGAGGCTGCTACCCTACCTGATCACCCTGGGCGACGCCGTGCACAACTTCGCTGATGGACTGGCCGTGGGCGCGGCCTTCGCGTCCTCCTGGAAGACCGGGCTGGCCACCTCGCTGGCGGTGTTCTGCCACGAGGTGCCTCACGAGCTGGGTGAGCTGCGCGGACAAGGCCTGCTCTGGTGGGCGGGGATACCGGTCAGGGCGTGGCCTCTGTGGCGGGGGGACCCTGGAGGTGGGGGGACCCTGGGTGCTGGGGGCACCTCGCCAGGTGGTGAGGCTGGCTACCCTGGGCAGCAGCGGGTCGGTCCTGAAGGTGGGCTGAGCCTGCCTGCGGCGCGGACCTCTGGAAGGGACCCTGCCCACAGGGGACTTCGCGGCCCTGCTGCACGCGGGGCTGTCGGTGCGCCGTGCGCTGCTGCTGAACCTGGCCTCGGCGCTCACGGCCTTTGCCGGCCTCTACGTGGCGCTGGCAGTCGGAGTCGGCGAGAAGAGCGAGGCCTGGATCCTGGCAGTAGCCACAGGCCTCTTCCTCTACGTGGCGCTCTGTGACATGGTCAGGGGGCAGCCGGGAGCCTGGGGTGGGGAGCTGAGAAGGTGCCTAAGCCGGCCACTAACCCAGTGACCCCTCCTCAGCTCCCGGCCATGCTCAATGTGCGGGACCGCAGGCCCTGGCTCCTCTTCCTGCTGCACAATGTGGGGCTGCTGGGCGGCTGGACCGTCCTGCTGCTGCTGTCACTGTACGAGGACAATATCTCCCTTTAATAATCCCGCCCGTCTACAGCTGTTGACTCTGCCTCTGACCAGGGCTCCTCATACCTTTGGATGGGCTCAGCAGCCAGAGAACCCCAGAACCTCCAGAGTCCCTTTCTCCCTCCCCGGGTTTGGAGCCCCTATTTCAATAAAGACAGCCTTATCCTGAAGCCCTGCTGTACTCTCCCTGCCCTCAACCTGCAGCCACCAGGAGAGCTGTCTTGGGTTCCTCCAGCCGCCAGCCCTGGTTTGTAAAGACCCTACCCAGAGAACCAGGTCAAAGGAGCTGTCCAGGTGGGACCCCATTCCCAATCAAAACCAGCATCACCAGGGGGGCTCCACACAAGAGGCCTTTTTGCTCTTACACAGAAGCAGTCCCAGAGGTAATCAGACCAGAGTGTGACAGCTCACAGTCAATGGGTTTGCCCTGCGGTTCTCACAGAAAGTGTCCACCATGAGTCCCTGGCAGCCGTCTCCTTGGACGGCCTTAACACCACCACCTAGCACAGACTGGATGCTTAACACAACAGAAACGGGTTCTCCCACGGTTCTGGAAGCCAGAACTCCAAAAGCAAGGTGCCAGCAGGGCCACACTCCCTCCCCGCATCCAGGGAAGAACCTGCTCCATGAGCCTTTCCAACTTCTGTGGCCTCAGGTGCTCCTTAGCTTGTCACAGCACAGCTCAAATCTGCCTCCATCTGACATGACACTGTCTTGTGTACATATTTTCTCTGCTTATAAGGACAGCAGTCATTGGATTAATGGTCTACCTTAAACCAGTATGACCCCCATCTTAAGTAATGCCGTCTGCAATGGTCCTATTTCCAAATAAAGTCACATTCTGAGGTGAGAGTTAGGGTTTCAACATTTTTTTGGGGGGGGGTACTGGGTATTGAACTCAGGGGCACTCAACCACTGAGCCACATCCCCAGTCCTATTTTGTATTTTATTAGAGACAGGGTCTCACTGAGTTGCTTAGTGCCTTGCCATTGCTGAGGCTGGCTTTGAACTCACCATCCTCCTGCTTCAGCCTCCCAAGCCGCTGGGATTACAGGCATGCGCCACCATGCCCGGCTTCAACATATCTTTTTAAAAATGTTTTTAGTTGTAGTTGGGCACAATACCTTTATTTTATTTATTTACTTATTTTATTTATGTGGTACTGAAGTTTGAACCTAGTGCCTCACAAGTGCTTGGCAAGAGCTCTACCACTGAGCTACAGCCCTAGCCCTCAACATATTTTTTTTGGTTGACACAATTCAATCCACAATACTCTCATGGTCCAGAGCTGCCAGAGCTCTAGCCATTATATGCATGCCCCAGGTAAAAGAAAAGGTTGGGAGAAGAGAGCAAAAGGAATGAATGTTTGTTTCTGTAATTGGGATTGAACGCAGGAGTGCTTAATTACTGAGCCACATCCCCAGCCTTTTTAAATTTTATTTAGAGACAGGGTCTTGCTGAGTTGCTAAGTGCCTTGCTAAATTGCTGAGGCTGGCTTTGAACTCATAATCCTCCTTCCTAGGCCTCCCAAACTGCTGGGATTACAGGTGTGTGCCACCACAACAAGCCTCAGCATTGATTTTTTTTAAGGATCATCATCAACCTTAAAAGAGGCATCTAGAAATTACTCTGTCTCCTAAACCCAGCTCAGAATACTGAACATACCAAGATGAGTACGAGTATAGAGGGAAAAAAAACTCAGGGCCTTGCATGCACAAGGCCCTGGGTTCAATCCCCAGCAACACACACACACACACACACACAAAAAAAAAAAAAAAAAAAAAAAAAAAAAAAAAAAAACATCAAGACCCTGTCTAAAAATAAAAAATAAAAATGACTGTGGATGTGGCTTAGTGGTTGAGTATCCCTGGGTTTAATCCCCAGTATAAACAAAACAAAACAAAAAAACCCATGAGCTCCTAGTACATTGCCTGCCTGTGGTGAGTGTGTGGGGTGCATGAGGAGTGTGAACTGGACAGTCCCCTAGCCATGGCCCACCTTGCAGGAGCTGAGGAAAATCTGGAGGGCAAAGGCCTCTGAATGGCGAAGCCGAGAGCCCTGAATTCGCCAGGGTTTGTGCTGGTGGCCCCATTGCCCCTCCCACACACACCCCCTGATGCTCCTTTCCCAGAACGTTGGGCCCTGGTCCAGGCCACCACTGTCCTTCCCCACAGTGCCTCCCAGTCTGCCTCTCGGGCGGTCTTATTTCTCTCTCATTGAAGAACAGGCCGCGGGGCAGGTCTGCCTCTCCTTCTGGCCCCAGCCCTGGGACAGCAGGGCCCGGAGCTCAGGGGCACCCGCCAGCGCCCCTCTAACGCAGACACTGGCTCGTCTGTGAGGGCGTGCTGAAGTCCAGGAGTTCGGGCAGCAGCCCGTCCCTCAAACGAAACAAAAATGTAGGCGCCCTGTGAAGCGGGAGCCACACTGCCGCGTCCGAGGTGCTGGTCTGTCTGAACACATTTTACGGGGTTTGGGGGTGGCTCAAAGTCACCTACCCGTCTGAGCATCCAAGTGCCGGGCGGCGGATAGGGGCCTGGCATGAACACGTTTCCAAGCCGTTTTCGGGTATGACCACCCTCTTTCCCTGGACTTCGAGGACGGGGGCTGGGAGCCGGCGGGACACGCCAAACCAGGGGCCGCGGGGGAAGCGGAGAACTGCGCCGCGCGCAGGGACCCTCCAGGCCGCCAGGGGCCGCTGCCGCCGGC